TTTATTTCAAGTTCTGTGGGATATATCGAAATTTGAATGGAAGTAACTATTGTTAATTGACAATACCTCGAGTGTCTTCTTCTTCTCATGTATAAGTTTTTGAATAAATTCTGCTTTATTTGAATATAAAAGGTCTGCTAATAACGGGGGAGTATTATTGCCCACAGGAATTCCGACAGATCGCTAAAAGACCTGATATCCAAAAACTACCTAGATATTGTCAATCAGAAACTCAAGCATTTTTTCATATCTACTTCAGGATACTTGTGTGAACAATCAGAATATTTTTAACAAAATAATTTTGCAAATAACCAATGATAAGGTAAGTATATTTACGAATTCTTTTTTTTATTGAAAAAGCAGCTGCCCATGATGTCAAAGAGCCTGAACTTTAATTTATCACGAAGAATGGTTGTCTAAAGTGTTGTAAAGTCGTACATTTTGATGTTTTCTATTCATTGAATAAGAGTGATATTCTGTCACAGTGTGAAAGAATATCAAAGTGATATTCTGTCACAGAATTGCGGCAAAACTCTATTTTTATCCCCTTCACGAAGTTATTGTCAAAAATATTCCCTGACTTGTAATAAGATAGAGAGAGTAAATAAACCATCCTGACAAGACACTGAAAAGTCTCCAAATATGTTGTTGAAATTTATGTTTTCAATCTCACAATCGCGATGCTATGACGCCTCAACTGCTCATCTATGATATCACTGCCTATGACATCGTGTTACGAAAGGACAGAGGCAAAGGGAAAACCAAAGAATATTTTTTAAAAAGCAAGAAAATTAATTTTTTTGTGGTTGGATATGGCATTTATTTCACTCGTAAGACATATTTCTTTTTATATTTTCACTTGTATTCTTCGCACTTGTGAAAATATATTTAAAACATCCTGTCCCACTCTGAAATAAATTCCATATCCAACCACAAAACATTGAATTTCCTCTATTTAACTAAATATCTATTATATGGTCTATACACTAAAACAATTTTTGCGGAAAACTCTTAAAATATATTGATGTTAATATGGTTTTTAAAAATATATTGATATTAATAATAATATTAATGTTGATATTGATGTTAATATCGGTGTTAATGTGGTTGCTGATATTGATATTAATACTGATGTTAATATGAATATCATCGAATGTTACTCCTCTTTGATATTATAAAATATATAAAAATATTTCAAAATGGAACCGTGTTTTATTTCCCACGTAATATTCAAATTAAGGCATGGTCTGTGACTTTGCCAATGTTTTGATTGAGAAAAATACAAGGCATGTATGATGATTAAGCAAATTGAAATATTAAAAACCTCAAGTTTCATGTCATGGAAAAAGGGAAATTGAGTTAATTGAAGTTTGGCGATCTCATACGCTTTAGCCATATTTGGAAGCAAGCCAAAGTGAATATGAAGACGAAAACACAGAAACATTCAGGTTTTTATTTTCAAGCGGCTAAACCCGTAAGTCTTGCAATTTCACTTATTTTTTCGAAACAGATTCTGTGCGAACATTTGAAGTCTTTCGATGATACCCCCCCCCCCCCCTCAATCTTCATTGAAAAACATAATGCATAATGCGTGTACTAGTATATTGTATCTCCGGATCAGTCGACATCAGTGGTAATTTCTTTGTAAAAGTAATTTATAATAAACATGGAACATATTCTTAACTTACAACATATCGTCAAAATAAATAAATAAATACACTGTAAATAAAAAAGAAATAATATGAATTTAACTTTGATATCAAAATCTTGTTGAATTTAATATTTTTTTTAAAGTAAGAAATATAGTCAGCTTAGGCTATACAATTTTTACTTTTATATACATGTTATTCAAGATATCATACACTGTATATTCGGCCAGTAAAGTTTTTTAGCCTGTGAAATGTTACTAACCTGGGAGAGGTTGAAAACAAGCAAGTATGTTTTCAATTAAGAGGCGTAGGTATATAAAATTTACATACTTTTAAAACATAAAGATCTAGGAAAAACAAAATATCTAATAGTTATTAAAACTCATTAACCACGTATTTAAACAATTAACTAATTCAAAATATATACCTCGATACAGTTCCACACTGTGTATTCAGACGCCATGTGATGTCATATTAAATACACATGTTTGCATTTGAAAGTATGGATATTTTAGGTAGAATTCTAAATAACTATATCAATAAATCATTTTTTCCAAAATAAATAACAGGTCTTCCAACAATCTGTTGGGATTCCGATGGGCATTATATCAAACCAAACTGATCAGGCCAGAGTTTTCATGACGGCATATTTATTTTAACGAGCTACATTGTATGTGCTTCTGTAACAATAATAAATAATGATCACGATTGTTCATTTACTTGTGTAAAAAGAAAGTAAGTGTAAAAGGTGAAGAAAACGAACAGTGATAAATCCAGTATACAACACGAATCATGAATAGAGCAAAAACACAGACCCCTGGACAAAACAGAGGGAGGATCAGGTGCCTAGAAGGAGTAAGCATCTCCCGTCGACCGGTCACATCCTCGTGAGCCCTATGTATTGATCAGGTAGACGGAGTACTGCTTATTCATAAAACAATGACCAAACATGTCGGACAAAATACGACACAACGTTAGTTTGTATTTACAAACAAGGTCTATATAATGAACCTAAAATTTGCAAAAAGCTGACTTTAATTAAACGGGATTGGATATCCTTGTAAAATCAACGTATTTGTCAGTAAATCTGTATAAAAATTGATTGAAAATCAAGGAAATCAACAACATATGCAGGTGGTGTTGGAATATTGCTACATAAATAAGGGAAAGTGACGATAGAAAAGCTGAAGTCATCCTGTTTGCCATATGAAGTTTTTTTTTAAAAATCTATTCTGCTTCATAGGAATATAAAAGTAGGCCGGCTGATATAGGAGTACTATTAGTACCCATCGAAATTCCAACAGATTGTTGGATGACCTGATCGCCAAAGACTATATAATATAGACATTGCCAATAAGGAACTAGGAATAAGGAAAATATCGAATAATTATGCTAATTAACATGCATATATAAAACACTTATTAACTTTAAAATACATGTGTACATTAAAATATTAAGTAAATTAAAGTTTAAAAACAACTTTTATCTGTATTTGATAATGCACTATTCTAGCTCTGTATTATTCTTGACCTTGCTTTTCGATGTTAGATAGCCGATGGGAAAGCAAAAAAAAAAAAATAAATAAATAAATAAATAAAAAATAAAAAAATAAAAATAAAAAAAAATAAACAAACAAACAAACAAACGAGCAAACAAAAAATTAAAAAAAGAAAAGCTTGATAAAATTTAAACGATGTGAGAAGAGTAATCCCACATGTTTTGTTATTGTTAGATTTGATTTTTATCATAGGATTTGGTTGTAGCTTGAACCGGGGGAAAATCTTCGACAAAAAACATTTCCAATTACAAAGCATTTGGGTTCCTTTATTTATTTTCCGAATCAAATCAAATCCATACTGACCTGCTCAATTAATGATTAAGAATTTATTTTATAAAGATAAGTTCTTCTGTAGCGGTGATAATGAAAGTGAAGGCGATTATTACTCCTTAGATACCTTCCCTGAGTAGTTTAATCTACGTAAATAAACCTGGTGTTATTACCAATGTCGGAGGGCATTTTCTAAACCTCTATAACGCCCATCTCTTCTTTTCTTCTGTCTTTCAAAATTACATCAAGTTTCGTTCCAAACCTAAAGATATTTTCAAGCAGAAACATATGTGTAATATGCATTACGGAATTTTCTTTTATGTTATTTTCATCCAAGAAAATTTTATAAATATTGCAACGGGCATCTTAAATTCCTCAGAAAGTGTTGTGCAACATTTAATTAGGCGTGTTTCATTATTTAGCCCGGACGAGAACGAAGAAAGCAAAGAGGACTGCATTCCCCCCATTATGACCCAACTATTAAAAAGTTTTAATCAAAGTTATATAATCTGTAACTTTGTATGTACTACATTGAGGAAAATATTTCTGAATTACAAAATTTGAAACCTTATATTGCATCAGTAAAACTCAAATTAATTAAAATGCAGCTTTCGAAATCGACAACTCTAACATTAATAGAATTTGTAGCTAGTTTTATGAAAGGGTTTTCATTAGATAGGTTTCACCTTATTTGGTGGATTTAATGTTTGGTAATTAAAGATCTATAAATATATATGCCTGGGATATTTGTTTAACATGCTAGTACATGTATTATATTTATTCTCCTTGAGAAAATCGTTTTTCAAATATAAACCAATATTTTTTTTTACTTAAGGACAGATAATACATGCACAAATGGATGCCCGGATATATTGATATATTATTACTGAACCTAATATTTTGGTTGTAAATGATCCAAATTTCAAAGTTCTAAAATGTCAAGAAATTGTATACTTTCTATGATGTTCAAAATTCTACCTTTTTGCTGTCACTTTTTATCACTTTAGTACATTGTTGTTAAACTTGGAATGAAAAATTAAAATCAAAATCTATGCCGATAAACCTATTCATTATACTTATATAAACATGGCTTTACCTGATAATTTTATGATTTTTGAAGAAAGTTTGTGCCATCTGTCCTTAAATCACGTATTGAAAATATTTAAAATTATGGATCATATCACTTTCAAACCTATATCGAGTTGATGCTTCAAAGAGTGAATATGCAATGAGGTCTCGTCATGTTTGGAAATCAAGCAGCCTAATTGAAATTTAATATTGCTTTTACTACCTTGATGGAAGTTTTTTCATGAAATAAATTAATTTTATTTATTTCCTTATCAGAATGAATATACTTACAGATGTCTAATTCACTATGAATTCTTTGATTGGTTGTAGCTGGAAAACAAGTGGAACCTGACCATAGCCAATTTAATAAAATTCCTTAATCATGTCTCCATGAAATGATAAATATCACATAAATTTCACATAATAGCATTTTATTGATTATTTGTTGTGAAATGTGACATTTCAATGAATGAATGGAGAAATATCATATCTAATACGAAATTGTAGTCTTGAGACTAGTATAAACTGGATATAAAAACAGAAATTATCCAAGAGAATGGCTACTAAAAAGGGTTGTTGGACGTGAATCCAATTTGGAGTTCTCTCTGCGGCAGTCGTGAAATAACCAGTTCAAGCGTAAAATCTTCTTCAGAGATCGCCTAAAGTGTCTACTCAAGAAGACATAAATCCAGAAATTAATATGATTGACAACATATACCAGTACATTCAAAACTGTGGATAACTTCAAATCGGCGTCAGGAGAGAAGATAGAGAGGTTCATAGCTTTGGCGACAAAGTAGCAGCCGTTAGGGATTTCTGCCAACAGGAAACAGGAAACGATGGCAATCACCATGTAAGATGTCCTCCTCATAGAACGATTGTCTTTTTTCTCTCTTTCTCTGTTTTCGCTAGCTCTTATTTTTGCCATTTGATTTTTAGTGATATGCAGGCGTCTAACAAGCAATATTGTTGTAATAGTTAGTACAGCGCAGGGGATAAGTTGTCCGAAAACTCCACGTGAAACATTGTAAATTTGTACAATATCAGAGAAATGCGGATTTTCCATGCAAACACACAATGATTTACCGTCAATTTCCACTGAATCATATGTTGTACTGAAAAATGTGATAGAATACATAACAAGCGCCGCGATAGCGATGATAATCACCCAAACAATGGACATTTTAATCGTGCAGATTCTCCGGCCTAAAATTGGGAAGGACACAACCACATACCTCTGAATGCCAAGAGCCATGGTGATCCAAACTGATGTCTGATGAAACAGGGCGGCTAGTATACTTCCATAGTCGTAAAACAAGCACATAGGGTAGGGAAGTGGTTGGCTAGTGTCGGCTATCCCATAGGCGTAGATAAAGGGTGGTGATATTATGTTTCCCGCCAAGATGTCACTGACGGCCAGGCCAATCAGAAGCACAGATGTCGGAGAGAGAAGATGCTTTTTCGTGAAAACAACAATAACTAAAATATTGGTAAAAAGAGTTAATAAGGCTATAGCTGGACAAAGAACGGCATAAATTTCAAACGGCGAGGGGTACGGGAATGGGTCACAGAAGTTACTATTGTTACTGGAATTCATTGTCAGTATGACTGTCAGTGATGAATTCGTGCCACTCATCCTTCAGGAAAACAGTATCTCACATCCGTCGAATATTTTTTTTTCTTTTTATCCCACCGTTACCCAGCATGAACCAATTTAGAATTCTAGTGAAGTTAAAACCACTTTATCTACCTCACCATCAATAACGCATAAAAATTATAATCCTCTCACAAGTTCCGACACATTAAGTCAGACCAGATCTGTTACAAGGAATGTTTAAAACACAACTCTTCGTCTTATGACAGCTTGTGGATTACGGCGCCCCCTTTGGAGAGAGATCATCCTCGTCTCTCCGAGGATCTGTCATGCGTAATTAGGATCCCCTGCTTCTGAGTCTGTCACAATGATAAGCTATGACGTACAGAGGTCACTGCCGTCAATCCCGGGGTCAATCCCTCTCTGTTACATGGAAACCATTTCCACAACTATTACTTTAGTCCTTGTTACTGGGAGAGGTCCGCTTACATCTCTTTTCCAATTAGAATCAATTTATACGATCATGTTATCCATAGGGCTATCTTGGGCAATTGCTGGCAAAATTAATATTTCGACAGATTACACAGGATTTCATATTCTTTCTGACCAAAATGAGGGGATCAATAAGACAACGTTCTTATCAATACAAAGAATATTTTACAATGTTGTTTTCCAAAATTAGATAGGAGATTTGTTCTTGTTCAACAAACTAGTATTATCTGGTATCTTACTGTGAATAAAACAGTTTTGTTTCACAGTTGAAATCATTTGAGAGAATTTTTATTAATAACATTCGTAGAATTAATTAAGACAAATAATTGTAGAATAACATGTTTTGGAATAGCACTTGTTTGTAGATATTCATTATGATTATTTGTGACAATGATACCGATTGAAAGCTTTGAATTCAGTTATCTTATCATCTAACTGTTAACCACTGTTCTTACAATCTTCTGAAGATTCTCTCAAACGTCACTTTTCTGGCTATCAAAAATAATAATCAAAAAAGTAGGTGGGATTTCAATTTATATAAGCTCATAAAACCTGTGTTATAATGAAATTTTGAGGTTCCGCCGGGCTATGTTTAAAAAAAACAGCGGTCTGTCGGAAGAGTTCTGAACATTAAGACGATGTACCGTTTATGAATTTCTTGACAGACTCTTTCACTTTGTTAACCTGTCTCATCTTTCCTTTCTCAACTGCATTTTGTTTTAGCTGGATTATAAACTGTGTCAAAATACGATACCTAACTTTAGAAATTTAACACAAGGGCAGGTAACAATGAATATGAAATTGCTCAGAGCAGGAATATTGTGAGTACTTTTTTAAAAAATATATTTATTTTCCTAAAAAAATGCACTTTGATATTATCATATATTTTATTTCAGTGGACTTTCAAACTTTATTTTCTGCAAGCGATTTTGAATTGTGTTTCATATTCCTCTGTTGAAGACAATGCCGGTTGGTCTAATCTAGCGACCATTGCACCGGCTTGTCACCACACTTCTATTTCACTCGTGTAGGAATACTTGTTTCTGAGTATGACCGGAGTCATTCACCTGAGGGGCGACCTTACTTCGATTATTTGTCTGCATAATTTTGATTTCATTTTTGCAGTGATTGGCCGAGAAAATTAATTACGGCTTACAATTAATGAAAAGACATGACAAAAGCAGCAATTTATTTTATGCTGTCTTTACTTTTGATTGCCCAGTAAGTGCTCTTAACACTCTCATTATTTGTGAATACTCCCTAATTTTCCTTATTCCTTTTTACGGGAAACTCTTAAGGGAGAATCGATGAATCAGTTCTCCGATAATACATTTTTTTTTCCAGTTTAAAATGATTCATTTGGAAATTACCTACAGACACTCGCACTTTCTGAATGAAAATCTTTTTTTTTTTTTTTTTTTTTTTTTTTTTTACCAATAACAGTTTCAGTCCAGGCTGTAATGTTTCTTTAGTAAGTTTCTCTTTCAAGTCTAAAAACTGTAAAGTTATGGAATAATTCGGGACTTTCACATATTGATCTGTCATTTAGGAATCTGTAAAATTCCATTGAATTTTTCTCCTCATTTATCACATCTTGACTGTTTTCACCCCCTTTGTTGACGTGCTTGTTGCTGTTCAATATATTTTTCTATTCTTTGGCGCCTTCTTTCGGACACCTATTTGTATCCACAAGTTCGTGACCAGACAAATTTTCCTCCGAACATAGAGAATACAGCAAGTAATTTATAACAGGACAGAGGAGTAATGATGGCAGTGAGTAGCAATCTATAAAGGCTGTCTGTCGGGTGTAAGACGATAGACCTTAACTATCATAGTTAATATTTGATGGGACTTCATCGATAGACGAACTCAAATTTCACGAAGTTAGGAGACTTGTATCTTTTTCTATGTTATGTGTACATGTACCTTGTACCAGAGGGGCATTCAACTCTTTTTTCTCTGTTTTTGACATCAAGTCATCCGAACTTGAGGTCGATGTTTGAATTTTCTTATCTCTTTTTCCGTTTGTCTGAATGTTTTATTCACACTATTAAGATTATCTTATATATGTGTTCAAAGCCAGTAAATACCTGTTTTTAAAATATAATCCTGGACTAAGAAATGGTGATAACGATGTTCAAATCAATAAAAGAAGCTTACAGAAAATTTCACGAAAACTGAGATCTAATCTTTGTAAAAATGAATGGCTTGCAACGAAATATACAGTAAACTAAAAAAAAAAGGGTTTTGCTATTGTAATTCATATTTAAAGTTAAAGTTAATTTTAGTGGAAAAATAGAATGAATTGTAAGAATAGTTCTTCTCAATGGAATCTTATATAGAAAACGATCTTATATCCTAAGGCCAACATGACCGGGGCTTTTATTAAATCTTTATCTAGCTCCTGATGATTGAAAAAAGCCCACTATCAATTCTTTAATCAATTGCAAGTGTCTTTAATATGCTGTTTAAATCATATATTCAGCTGAAAGGTGTGTAAAAGTTCCCTATAAAATAAGTTTTAAGAACATCAAGGTTGCAAAGTATGCCAACATCTTTATAAAGCAAAGGTTCTTATTCTCTCAGACCGTGGCTCTTGACCCAGTGTGAGTTCAAAATAAGGAGCACAAAATTTATTAGATTCATTTTCACAGAGATCAAGGTAACTTGATGTATTATGCGGCACGCGGCACTACATTTCACCTATTTAACCTTATAACTAAAGGAATTCCAATCGCGAAACTTTGCACACTGTCCTTAAAGTGTGGAGTGGTTATATCCATCTAACATCTAAAGAGTTTGTGTGTACTTTGATGTATCTATATCAAAATATCTTCTTTTTTCGATAAATGGGAAATGCTTCAGGAAGCATTGTTTTGTTTGACTTTTCCTTTATTTTAACCCATTATCGAGCATTAGTGATTTACACATTCTTTAAGAAACAACAACAAAAAATGACCATCACAGTAAGGCGATATCATTAATGTTGTCTAGTAAAATTCAGTAATAACTATATAAGATAAAGTCAGGCTCTAGTTAGTTCAATCATCGTATCAGAGTTACTTAAATATCATTCAGTTCATCGTCTAGTGCGATCTTTAGGAAACAGTTACTAGTAGTCAGTATAATAATAAGGACATGTAGACATAGATAAATACTATAAAACAGGAACACGTAGGTATTTGATTAATACCAGAGAATGTTATAAGGGATTTTTTTAATTAAAAATAAAAGTTTGTTTTGTTTTACATTGATCTTATTTGAAAAAAAGCCTCAATGGTTTTACGTCATGTTCTCTTTCTAAAGAGAGACAGGAAGGCATTAATTACGGAGTAGCTACCTCAAAAGAGTGAAAATAATTGTAGTAATTCTACACCGCTGTGTGTCTATGCCTCAGATCTTACGTTGTAAGACTCCTCATTATCAATCCGCCCCTCCTAAAGATCAATTCTTCTTAGAATTAATTTATCAAAAAAGATATTCCTCAAATCTCCTGAAGTTACCTCATACCTAGTCAATAAAACATAAAGTTCTGGGTATAAGTGTGGCGAAATTTAATACTGGCTGTCAAATTAATCAAACTTTGCCAAATGATAATTCAAATATACACAAATGATGTAAGCTGGAAAAATTGGAAATCTCAAACCGACTTTACAATATTTGTTGTCGATTACAAATACTGATTTATTTTCCCCACCAAAAAATAACCAATATATTTGAAAAACAAATTGCTGTATATTTCGAATATTACTTTTTTAAATGCAGTGTTCAGCATACAATTGATAGCAAGCAACACATTTTCAGCAATTGGCAATAAGCATGCAAATGAAGAACAATAGGCATTTAGACATTTCACGTAGCGAACAACAGTAAGCAATAAACAATGAGAAATGAACATCAAGCTATCAGTAACTTGCGATGAGCAATTAGCAGTATGCTATTGACAATATTTGGTGATGACAATGAGCAACTGCTATTGTGTATTTCGCAAAAGGCAAGAAGCGATAATCATAAGAGAACTGGTAAAAAGAAATGAGCAATTTTAGCACACAAAATAGCTTTATAGCTTTTTGTGTTAGAATTTCCATAGAAATCGTCTGGAATCGCATTTTACCGAACCATTCATATCCTGAAAATAGATAAGTTACGATAGAATACGAATAGACGATGTACTTCACGCACAAGTAAAGGCATGTGTGAAACACTAAACCATTGACACCGTTAGTGAAAGTATACGCAAATATTTATAGTTATATGTACTCTTTATGCATGTTAACACGTAATTTTAGTTTATTTGCGATAATTTTCTATATTGAATGTGTCCAAGACGCTGACAATTAGTGAAAATGGGAAACTTTATTCACGATTTTATTGTGGTGTTGTTTTGGCCAAATCAATAGTTTGTTTTTGTCGTTCTGGAACAATTAAGAGCTAAAAGGCTTTCAGCATTTTGATGAACACTGTTGCAGTAATGAAGCTGCTTAAATGTATAAATTCTAGTCTTAAAAAATGACGTTCAACATATAATTAGCACCATTAATTTTGGACATACATATAAAATCAGAAATTGAGAGACCCTTATGACAAAATAAAGATTCTGAGGAGGATTAAAAAACGGTAAGATAAACGAAGTTCAGTGAAAATTTTCACGTTGTCTTGTAGAGATTTAGTTTTCAGTTGAAGTAATTTAGGAAATCGTAGTGATAAACAAATTGTTTCTGGTCATTCTCCGATCTATATGCCTAATCTACAATATATTGCATGTACAATGTATTTTAAGGCAACAGCTTAACACTAGTATCATGTTGTATTTATCTCCATCCAGTAAATTCACATACACGTACTTTCTTTTTCCGATAATGTTGGTCTAGTAAAGAATATTAGCAGAAATAAAGATAAAGTTTACTTCTTTATTTATAAAGATATATTTCTTTGAGGGAAATTTGTTAATTTATATGTACTATTTAGTAAGCTGTATTTGTTGTCAATTATTTCAAAATTTACAA